GCCTGGGAGCGGAAGGAAAGGGAACAGGGAATTGGGGCTTTGGTGGTATTTTTTAATATCTATTTCTTCAAAGAGAAAGCTAAAACAAATGTGGCAAGCTGTTGTTATCTATCAACTCTGGGTTTTTAATACATATTTGTTATTTTCTGTAGTTTTCTAATGTTCCGTAATAAAAAGTTTAAAAGAATATTTTATAACACAGTCCTTAAGGAACTTCCAGGCTCCTGGGGACATGAGACAAGAAGGCAGCTGTTAAAACCGATAAAGAAAGAGCCAGCACAGAGAGCCTGAGCACAGACAAATGCCTGGGAAAACCTGGGGGACGCATCACAGAACAGGTGACACTATCTGGGTCCTGAGGGATACACAGGAGTTTTTCTAGCTGGACGGCAGGGGTGGCTGGGCACCTCAGGCACATGCACATACAAAGCATAAGCATGGGACAATCACGATGTTTGGAGGACCTGGACTGGTCTGAGGAGGCTGTAGAGGGGGGCAGAGGCCTATCCAGGAAAGGTTCTGTCGTCACACTCAGGACAGGCCTCATCCTGCGGGAGTGAGAACCACCGGGGTAGTGAAAGAGGAGTGGCACGCTGAGGTTTTGTGTTCCACAAAAATGTCTCAGCAGTAATGATTCCAGAGGGAGAAAAGAAAAATGGGGGCTCAAAATAAGGCATCAGCAATGCAGGCAGAAAAGGGGATGGACCTAAGAGCTATATGGGTGGGAATCCTACATTTGCAGGACCCATGCTGATGTGCCTTCCTAAAACCTCCCAGTGGGCTCTGGGCTGGACCCTGCTTCATCCCGCCTGCCTCCCCGTCATCAAGCATTGTCAGTGAGAATGAATCACCAGACTCAGGCAAGGATGCAGGACCATCATCTGGGGACCATGTGATTCAGGCGGAGTCCACGGCCCAGGCCTGGAACCGGAGCACTGCATTTTGACTGGCACGTGGGTTGTTTTAGGGATGGGCACATGGGCCAGAGTCAAAGGTAAGCAATGACACGTTCCTGGATGCCCTAGAAAGGGACTGTCCCTCTTTCCCCAGAGCCTGCCAGGATGTGGCTGCACTGCCAGGGGCAAGGGTCTAACCACGACGGGGAGCCTGAGACAAGACCCAACATGGGAGAGAATGGAGTGCAAAGCAGGAAAAACGAGAAATGGCACTCTTATGGCGTCCTTTGAGCCCAAATCAAGCCACATCGAATCCCTTCTGCTTAAGCCAGTTTGGATCTAGTTTTCTGTCATCTACTTGAGTCAATCCCATGGCTTCACCCCTGGCCCAGCATGGAGTCAGCTGCCCTGTCTTCAATGTCAGGTCCCTTCCTTGGCCCCTTAGACTGTGGTCTGTCTCCTCCCAGGCCTGCTGGGGCCCAGGCCGACCACCTGAGGTTTGCATCCCATAAGATCCCTGGGGTCATCCCCAGGAACACCTGCACTAGGCCTAAAGGAGCAAATGCCTGATGTAAGACCAGAGCAATTGCTGGAAGGACTCTGGGGAGGGGGCTCAGAGGGCCACAAACACCCTCTTCTCCAGGAAACACAAAAGTCATACACTGCTTGTTCATCCTCCTTATTGAAATGGGGCCTTCCACCTTGGCTACATTGCAACAGGCATATTTAACATCACCCCTTTCAATCTGTGACAGCCATTTCTGCATTCTCGTCATCGCCATTAACACAGAAAGAGCTCTATAACGACTCCAAGCCTTACCGAGCATCCTTTCCGCTTATCTCATTATAAATAAAACTATCTTGTTATTTGGGTAAACTAGAAAAAGAAATGTTCTGCGTCAGGTGTCACGGGGCAACTGCTTCTTGTTATTTCATCATATCGAAAGGAGTTGGAGCGGCTGCTGAAAATCTGCTCCCATTTTTGAGTTTCAGAGAAGAAGCTTGGACATCAAACCCAGTGGATCCTATGGGGCCCCTGCGTTTTCTGACAACTCCCTGGTATTTTCTGTCTTTGCACAAAGCAATGCCCAGGAAGACATGAGATGGTGGGGAATGGGGAGGGGGTGGAGCTAGGGAAGATCCAGAGCTGGCCAGAAATTCCCCCAGTCACCCACCACGTCCAAGTGGGCAGGCAACGGGGGGAAGGGGAGCCCGCAGTGATTGGCCAAAGCCAGCTGTCAATGCCCCACAGGAAGCCTCCGGAGGCTTCTACCTACCCCATCAAACCAGAGGATGGAACCTTGTGAAGCTGCCTCGCCTCCTCTTTCTCTGAGTTCTAATGGTGGACCTGCATGGGCTGTGGCCTGCCCTCCACACCTTGGCCCACTGCTCACATCATGGCTTTTCCTGGCTGGTGGCTGACTGCTGTGGACACCTGTGCTGGGCCCTCAGGTCCCTATTCTCAGTGCTTTATGGCTCTGGGGAAGGAAACCACTTCCTGGCGTGTAAACTCAGGGCAAATCAGGATCTTTACACCACAAAGTTGTACTTAAATTATGGGAGGACCAGAAAGTCTGTAATGCTTGGAAACCCTGATTCACCGGCGACAGTACCTGCTGTGGCATTAGAATGGAGACGGGACAACGGCCTTACCTCTACCCAACAGAGGAAAGAAGACAAAATCAGAATCTACCCATAGGCAGCAACTGTTCCATAAGCAGAAGGCTTACAGGACTGGGAGACGACTACTAATGAGGCTGCAGTGTCAAGCTGCCTCGTCTGTAAAGTCTAGGAGGACCTCCATTCAGGGTGACGTTGGGTGGGAAACCGGCCCCTCACCTTGTGCAGGCCATTTGCCTGAGCCCTGACCGGAGATCATGTCCTCTCCCCACCAAACATACACACACACACACACACACACTCACACTCACACCACACATACACACCGTACATACCTCACACACACCACACACACACACACAATCTCACCACACACACGCACCATATGTACATACCATATATAACTCACTCATATCACATACTCACACCACATATGCACACCGTACACACACACCACACACACTACATGCACACCACTCATACACACACACCCCACATACACACCATACACACACACGCACACGCACAACAAAAACTCCTCCCCCAGGAAAACCAATGGCAGTCTAGCTTGCACAATCTTCAAAATATTAGTGTCTCCATGAAGTCTTTTATATCATGGAATTGGGCTGTAACTCATTCAGACCTGACCCAAAAATGGCACGAATCGTTCAGCTTTGCTGCACAACCGCCACAAACACTCAGTGGCACATGACGGTCAGCACTTATTCTCATGCTTATGAGTGTGGCCCACTGAAGACCACCGGTTGAGGCTGGGCTCAGCAGGGCAGCCCTGCTTCAGCTGTGATCTCCCCACTATGGGCTGGCACCTGTTCTATATGCGCTCATCCTGGGGCCCAGGAGGAAAGGGCAGCAGCCATGGGGGAAGCTGGCCTCACGTTCGATCCCCAGAGCCCAGGAGGGCAAAGCCAATCTGTCAAGGACATCACAAAACCCCGGGCACCCCACACAGATGGACAGGGGATGGATCCCAGCTCTGTCACTGCTTCAGACTGAATGGTTGGTTTCCCTTCAAAATATCATGTTGAAATCCTAATCCCCAACGTGACGATATTTGGAGCTGGGGCCTCTGGGAAGTACTTAAACCCTGTGGGTGGACCTCTTGTGAATGGGATTAATGCCCTTCAAACAGAGACCCCCTCACCCCTCTGCCAAGTGAGGTTACAGTGTGAAGACAGCATTCAATTAGGAAGTGGGCTCTCACCAGAACCCGACTAAGCTGGCACCCTGATCTCATACTTCCAGCCTCCAGAACTGTGAGAAGTAAATTTCTGTTGTTTATTATAAGCCTATTCCATTGTAGCAGCCCAAATAGACAAAGACAGTCGCCCTGTGTTAACCCCCCTCCTCCAAAAGGAAAAACATGGCTGGACCTCCCCCAAAGGGGGGAAGGATGATGATCACCCTTGGGCTCTTCTACTTCTCCCCCCACTTCTTACTCATTCTCCAATTTTCTCTCTTCTACACCATCCTGTTCTACTGCAGAGTCGGGTGGTCGGGGACTGTGGCCAAGAGGGCAGCGTGCCTGTGGGGCTCCCTCTGGGCTTGGGCTCGGCCTCCTTGGAACACTGGCAGTTTCTTGCCGGACTTGCCTCTGCCCTACCGTCCTCCATGGAGCCCTGTGGGGTCACGTGGAAAACCTGGGCTTGGAGTCAGGAGGGTCTGGGTTTGACCGTACCCGCTCACCCTGCTTGGCAGCTGACACGGGCAACAACACTCATAGTCGCTGAGCTGCTAAGGATTAGGGGCGATGGTGCATGTGGATGGGGTACCGGGGAGGCATAATGTCATGTTGGGTGAGAGATGATGTCTAGCAGTTCGGGTTTTTACTAGTTGAAACGTCAAACAGTGGAGAAGACCTTTGGGGTTTTTTTGTTGGTTTTGTTTTGCGGTACGCGGGCCTCTCACTGTTGTGGCCTCTCCCGTTGCGGAGCACAGGCTCCGGACGCGCAGGCTCAGCGGCCATGGCTCACGGGCCTAGACGCTCCGCGGCATGTGGGATCTTCCCGGACCGGGGCACAAACCCATATCCCCTGCATCGGCAGGCGGACTCTCAACCACTGCGCCACCAGAGAAGCCCTGAGAAGTCCTTTGTTTAAGACCCAGCCCAACTAACGCCTCAGGACACATCCCTCCAGAGCACCTGTGTACCCCTCCTCAGGACCCGGGCAGTGGAAGAGGCCTGGTGGTTGGGATGAAGGGGAGGAGAAGCTGAGATGGTGGTGGGGCCGGTGAGAGCGGTGTGCACAGGGCCGCCTGATCCTGGCTGGGCCTGGGACCCCTCAGGTGAGGCCGAGGAGGACAGAAGGTGCCCTGAGGCCGGACGCCACTCTCCTCCAGCTTCCCCCAGCAAAGTCACGCGCGACTCGCGGCGAGGGAAAGGGGGAGGGGAAGAGCTTCCCCAGGCACCCCACGGAAGCATTCACCCAAAGCGAACTGCATTTTAGTGAAAAGTCACAGACTTACCTCAGGTTGTCACAGTGTCGCTCTCTAGTGGAAACGGGGGCTGTGAGCCATGCAGAATTGTGTCGTAGAGAAATAACACGACTATTTTGATACAACCAAGTCCATGACGGTCAAATTCACGTCTGCCACGTGCTGGGAAGGAACTCAAGCAGCAGAGTCGACGGGTGTGCCCGGACTGACCACTGACTGCACAGAGGGTGGTCGGGGCACCGCTCGGAAGGGCACTACGGGCAGAGACCGGAACGTCCAGGGCTCCTCCGGCCCATGTGGGCAGGCGCTGCAGGGTCGGAAAATGAGAGCTGAACGGTCTGCAAGGGAAAGACCCACAGCACCAGAATAACGAAAAGTGGGGATAAGCTCATCAGTGGAACCTGGGCATTGGAGCTGCTCCATCACGGACCGGCTCGTGTGCCGCAGGGACCTACCTGAGCCAGGCGGGAACTGAAAAGGCCTGTGGGTACGTGGGTGGCGGACTTCCGGCGCGGAGGAGGGGCTTGGGGGGAGACACGCGGTGACCACGGCCCCGCCCACTCCTCCCCTCCTCCCTGCCGCCCAGATGCGCAGCCTCCCAGGTGCTGACAGCGTTTGGGGCCTCAGGGGCCTGTGAGAGGGAGGCGCAGCCCCTCCACCTGAGGGGGAGTCGAGCCTAGAGTTTGTGAGCTCTGCCGGCCAATCCTGGGAACGGCACGGCTCAGCCTAGAATGGACGTTGGAGGCGGGCGACATCTAGAGGCCCAGACAGGAACTGACACCTGGAAAGCCAGACCTGGAAGCCAAGGGCACAGAACAGAGGGCCCAGCCTCCTTTGCCCTAGGAGGTCGATCAGGAGCCCACGGGCTCTCCACGTGGCTCCCCACAGAACAGGCCTGGAGTACAGAGGGAGAAGCACTTTGGAGTCGTTTGGACCTGAGTTCGAATCTCAGCTCACCGCTTCCAGCCATGTGATGTGGATTAAGTATTTTTTCCTCCCTGAGCCTTAGTTTCCTCCTCTGTAAAATGGGGATAATAACACCAGTCTATAGATATGGTTTCTGCCAAGTCACTCTGTGACAGCCCCTTGCACCCCTTCTCCCAGAAGCAGCCCTCTCCTGGCTAGTCACAGTCAGCAGTTCCTGGATGGCCCAATCAGAGCCCTCCCTTGGGATTCCCACACTGAGGCTGGAAAGCCACAATGCCCAAGGGCCAGGGAAGAAGCCCAGAAGTAGTTGTGTGAAATTGAGATGCCCCAGGGCCAAGTGCACAGCCCTGCAGGAACGTAGCATCAATCTGCAGGTCGTCAGAGGTCATCTGCAGATTGGCTATAGGCTACAGATGGGGAGGCAGGCAGAGACCTAGGGAGGGTGTCTGGTCCCCCAACGGATGACCAGCCTTCCAGGTTTTCCCAGGACTGAAGGGACCTCTCGGGTGGTGAGACTTTCAGTCCTAGAGCCAGGCCAAATCAGGACAAGATTTTCAACCTCTGGCAGTCAGCAGAGGACTCTGCCAGGACCTGGGCTCTGGAATCTAATCACACAGAGATAGGCACTTGTGCACATACGGTTGGGGCATCTGCCTGCCAAGCAGACAATGAGAACCATGTTGGCTGGGAGCCCTGACTTCCAGGGCCACCATGGGCTGACCCCTCGCAGACCCATCCACAGGAGACATTATGAGTTCCCGAAGCAGGACGCTGGGGACACACATGCGTCGGGAGCCTTGCAGCTGCCTCCTCAGCACATTAACTGGCAGAACTTCTAATGATTTTAAATAAAACACTTTATGAAGGTCAAATTCCACATTTTTGCCCGCTGCTATCTAAAGTTTTAAATTCCACGTTATCATACAGTCAAATATATTACAACTGTAACCAGCTACTCGTCTAGAGGACGTTCACCTTTTTGTCGATTTTCTTGTTTCCATGTCCCTGGCCTTGTATTTACAGGAAATGCTGTCTCTGGAGCCTTTGAAAATATGACCCATCATTTTTCTACAGATGCCAATGCTGAGGACTCTGGGGGCCCCAAAATATGCACCCCATCTGCACCAGGGCTTGAAAACTTGCTTCTCCAGCCCCTGCAGCCTCGGGTCAGAGGGTGGGGTCACTTGGTTAACTGCACGTCCCTCAGGGATTAAGTGAAACGGCATCTTCTCAGTGAGGCCTGCTCTAGCCTCCCAATCAAAAACAGAATCACACACACACCCTCACACAAGCTCATCCTCTCCTGTCCTTTTTTTCTCTAGCACACATCACCATTTAAAGGTCCATGTATCTTCTTTTCTGTCTTTCCCACCAGAATGTAAGTTTCATAAAGGTAGGGATTTGTGTCTTTTTTCTCCATAGTGGTGCATCCCTAACACCTTGAACTAGGGCAGACGTAGAGCAAACACCTTAAAAATATTTGTTGAATAAAGAACTCCAGACTTTCACATAAAACATGGAAGAATCCCCCGGGAGTTATAAGACACCTCCCTGGTCCGTCACAAGTGGAATTCTGCACCATGGGTCAGCCTTTACTCTGGGCCTAGACCTGCCCTAGGTGTCTTACAAGAAACTCATTTCACCCCAGCAGTGGTGGAAGGTGTAGGTGGTGTTAGACAAGGATGCTGAGCTCAGATAGCAAAGCTGAGAAGCTGCCAGCTACTAGGAGAGCAGGGATTCAACCCTTGGGTGAGTCTAGGTCCTGGAACCTGCAGTGGTTAAGGTCAGACCCCACAGCCCTGTAACCCCTACAGTTGGATAGCTGTGGGCAAGTTCCTTAAGCTGACCATGCTTCCTTTTTCTCAGCTGTAAAACCAGGACCGTGAGCACCTATGTCCCTGAGCGAGGGTGGGATTAAATGAGGTACCACGTGAGGCGTGGAGTGCTGGGCCTGTAGTAAGTGCCGGGCGCTGGAGCCGCTACTGTGCAGGCCCCAGCCCCTCTGTCACCGGGTCTGTACCTGGGCAGGGCCCCGTCGTCCCAAGCTCTCCTTTGAGAGTCTGGAGGCTGATTCCCTGTATCACTCAGGACAGGACTGAAGGTCAGGAACCCCTGCTTCAGCTGTCAACTTTATGGCCAGCCCAATTCTCTCATCGTGCAGGCTCCCCAGCTGGGGGCAAAGGCTGGGGCCCTGTGAAACACAGACAGAGAAACAGACCCATGCCCGGAGGCGGGGAGGAGGAGAGAAGCGGGGACCGCAGAGGGTTCCTGATGGAGACCCCAGCCTGCCTGTGGTTCCTAGGCCTCCGCGGCGTCCTGTCTCCGGCTCTGCTGCCCACCCCACCTCCAGGACGAACCCCCAGCACAGACCCCCGTCAATCTCCCCTGCACTTGAGAAGTACTAATTGAGCCCTGTTAACATTTTCCATCTCTCAACAACCCTGCAGGGAAAAGCTACTGTTACCGTTCCCGGACGATGGGCGGGAACCCAGGCTGCACCAGCGGTCCCCGCCCGGGCGTCCTTGGAAACGAAGTCAGAGAAGACCTCCAGGCGCAGCGGCGTCCTCCTTAGATACTCAAGGGATATCCCGCCCTGAAACAGGCGTACAAGGGGGGGGCCCAGGGGCCCTGCGACCCTAACAGGAGTCGTCCTCGGTCCCCGGCCTGGCTGCCTTTCTCCCTACTCTCCCGACCGAGACCCAGACGCTGCTCCGGAACGGGAGCCGCGCGCCCCCGTGTGGCCATTTCTGGGAACGCAGGTCATGGAACCTGAGCACCCCAGGTCAGAACCGGCTGGGAAAATGCCCTGGGGAGGAAGCACCACCGGGGGGGAGGAGGGGGGCAGGAGGAGAAAGAGGGGAGGAGGTCCCTGCAGCACTTCCACAGGCCTTACTCAAATTGGAAGACACTTGATAGAACAGGACCTCCTAAGATAGCCACCCCCTGAGGAGCATCCTCTTCTCTTCCTCTTGGGGGCTTAAGAAGCACCTACTGGCCCAGGGTCTTGGCCCTCCCATGAGAACTTTAGCCTGAGCTGGGTGCAAGGCCCCCCCAGGGCTGCCCTAAAGATGTGGGACAGAACAAAAGAAGTGGCCCAGAGTAACAGGCAGCAAGACTAGCACTGCTCACTCAGCTTCATCCCTGCAGTCATTCAGCAGGAATGATGGAGTGCCCTCCAAGAGCCAGCCACCTTCCTGGCACCAAAGCTGTGTCCTCTACAGGCTACTAGAGTCTTTAGATCTATCCCCCAAATTCAGACTTACCAAAGAGCCAAGGCCCCACAGTGAATCCTGTGCACCTCAGCAGGAGGCTTCTCATCATTCCCTGCCCTCCTTCCAGCCCCAGGTGGAGGCCTCCTGCACATCTGGCTCCCCTAATGTGGAAACTCATACTTAAGGAGAAGTTACTGTGTGGGAGGCACACACACCCCTCCGATAACTCCGGTGGGCACTGGTCCTACCTAATCTTATCTAAGATGGAGTATGCCCTTAAATGCATTAGGAGTAGACCGGAAAGTTTGAAGAAGCCCATCCAGGCAAGTTGCCATCACATTTTGGCCAGTCTGCTCAGGGTACATGGAAGAGGTTGATGCCATCTTTTGGATTTTGCCAGAGATTCCTGTTGTCCTCCAACAGCACTCTAAAGAAATTTTGCTTCATTTAGTCATTATGCAGAGCATGGCACACTGGAATCTGTTGACATTCACTTGACGTGACTGTGAGGGTTTGTTACTGATTGGGTAGTCAGAGAAAAGCCACTGAAACTTCTGGGAAATTGACTCAATATTGTAACACATTATGTGGAAAAAAATGGAATCACAGTAATGATGAGCTCAGTTATGTGATTGGAGACTTGTGGTACCTTCATGGTTGAAAGTGTGTGTACTTGGATGCACTTGGGATTTTTTATAATTTACAAAAACGTTATGCTCTCATCTCCCTGACTCTAGCCTTTTCAAAACCCAGAGGAAATCTGCAGAGATTGGCCTCTTAAAGCCATAACCAATGCAAAAGCAAATCAGAGTGTGCCTTAGAGGGTGGAGTCTAAACCCTGGCCCCTGGACCTAGACCCTGAAGAGGACTCACCAATATACACCTGGAGACTGAAGAATATTTTACAAAGGAGAGACCTACTTCAGGTACATGGGGTTGTTCATTTTGGACTTCAGAAAAACAGACCTGCTTTCTGCTTCTTCCTCTCCTGCTGTTGGCAATACACCCACCCCACCCCCCCATCCCAGGACTATTTATACACATATAGAGAACCAGATGTCCCAACTGACAGAGCAAAGTTGTTTGAGACTACTGAATATTTTAGTCAAATTCTCCAACTCGAACCCAGCTTTGGTATGGTTCGTATCAGGGTCTTGCAAATCCCCTCTGGAGCCAGCCTGTATTTGGAAGACAAAGACAAGTATTCTTCTCTTGATAGCACAGAAGATTCTTAAGAGTCCTGGGCATCACAGGGCAACCACACTGCCAAGTCCACCTGCTCTCTGGTAGGAGCCAGGAAGAGGAGGGTAA